AGCCACTGTTAAACGGCTTTGAGCGCAGCAAAAAGCAGTGCAAGGAGCCAGGCAGCCCAGTGACACAGATCTAATCGCCCGAGCATTTGCCCCAGATGCCTCCCTGCCAGGCAGTGACATTTCTGCGTTGTCTCGGCTCTCTCCCTCCATCACCATGGCTACAGCAGCCACCAATCCACAGGCGAGTCCTTCCAGGGTACCACCAAACCCTCCAGGAGATGCTGTGAGAGCCAGCCCCTTTGGCAGGGAGGCACTTCAGGGACCCCAGGACAGCCCATAGCACCAAAAATTCCCCTTTTTCTTCTTCCCCTCCTCCTTTTAATTTTTTTCTTCTTTTTGAAACACAAACAATGGAGCTAAAAGGTTGGGTATCAGACCGATAATCATGAATGACGTGTCATTATTACACACCACACATTCATTATCTCCCACTCCAGCCAAGTCACAGGCGGCTGGAGGAGGGCAGATAACGGGGTGCCTTCATGCAGATGGCTTATTATCAGGATGTTCCAGGAGGGGCTTTAAGACAGTTAGTGATGCTGTTTGCCAGTTAAAGATTAGAGACCCCAGAGAATAATTAACAATCCCAAAACCCAGTTTTTCTGCTAGATTCTTCTGCTTTCTCCCCCCTCCCCCATCCTCTTTAATCTATTCACTCTAGCAGGTGTAATAAAGTGATAAGGACAGGCTCCGGGGATGTTTGTTTGGCTACTACGGGTGTATAAACCAACAATGGATGGTATTTTACTTCTGCCTTCTAGTGGCTTGAATTGAGACCAAAAACTTTGCAGCCCCCTTGCCCACACACTGCCACCCTTACACGCCATGCTCCTGGCTCCCACCTGGGTGGTTGGGCTCCTTCCCCATCCTGATGAACCGCGGCAGTGAGACAGGCTCCCCTTTTGCTTCTGGAGGTCCAAATCGCATCGCTTGGGTGTTAAGGCACCTGACGCCAGGGCATAAACCCCAGGCTACACTGCTTGCGGCCAGGGCTGGAGCTGGTGATCCTTCAAGCAGAGGTTTACCTGCATACGGCAAGTCTTTCATTATATCATAATTTATATATCCTCAGGGCCAGGCAGTGATAAACCACCTTTGCTGGTGGTTTAATGCAGCTATGCCCATTGGGCTCTGTGTGGACATCTAAGGAATGAGGTAGGTGTCCACTTGCCCAAGCTGCTCCAGAGTTGTGGCTACAGCTGAAGCAGAAACATCTTAAACCTCCGTGGTTAAAGAGCCTTGCTAATCTCAGGGAGATCAGGGAAGCCTCAGGGAAAGATGGCTTTCAACAAGATGTCCTGTAATCTGGGGGTCCAAGGGATGAGTTGCACCCTCCTAGGCCACAAAGGAAAGCTGATACATCTTGCAGCACAAAAAGACCACCCTAAATATCTCCTGCCCAAAAGGAGACTACCCAGTCCACAGTAAGTCCCAACCTTGAACGCCTTCCTGAAGCCTAAGCTTCAGGCTTTACAGAATGAGGGGTAGGATAGGGTACCCGTAAGTGTCCTTCCCCTGCATTGTTGGCCATGGGGTAACCTGTGGAGGACACTGTCACCTCCCATGCTGCATGGAGAGAGATGCTGGGGAGGATTTGGCCCCCAGACAAGTTGGCTCAGGATCCTTCAAGGATGTCATCAAAGTTCTCAGAGGTGCCCATCACCTAGGGGTTATCAGGTACTGCTCTAGCTCTGGAGGGCATCCCCCAGCTCACAGGGTCAATGCAGCGGGTGTGAGAGCTGGGATGCCAGAAGCTGCCTTCCCAATCACACTCATCCTGCCGGGGAGGGATGAGAGAGCATTGTGCTCTAAACAGCATCCCCAACCCTATCAGCAAGAGATGAGATATCCTAATTATGGCAGTATAGGCGAGGATCCGGGCCATATCAGCCGGCACAGAAAGGTAAACAAGAAATATAACAATGGACCCTTAACACTCATTAGCTGTGTCAGATAATACCTCACTTTTCTCCCTTTGGGGCTTAAAATCTAATTAAGATTTCCCAACAATAAATTTCATTTATGCTCATTCCCTTTTGTTCTTTTTAGGAACACACTGAGAAGCATCCACGAGCAGGCTGCACAGCTCGCAGGAAGGCAGCCTGCCTTGCACAGCCAGCCTCAGGTCATGCTTGACAAAGGAAACTGAGACAGGATGGCATCATGGACTGTGCAGAGGTGAGATCCCACCAGGAAGGTAACACAGTGGCCCTTGAAAAATATGTTTTCCCCAGGAAAGTGCATTTTAAAGGGACACTGGCTGGGATAAGACCAAGCATTGAGGTTCTTGGGTTCACACAAAACACGGTAAAGTCCCATCCCTCTCCTTGCTTGGATCTATGACCATGGGAGGGACCCATGGGGAAAGGGACACACATCCACCCAGCCCCCAGCACACCTCCCCTCCAACTCCACACCCAGGCACTGCCAGGAAACAGCTTGGGCAATCACTACACATTCAGGGCATGGACATGGCAGGGAATAAACTCCCGCTGTTACTCATTATAAGGATGCCATTTCTAACTCCTTTTGCAACAGAGAGGTAAAAATTAATGAGTTCCCCTCCTCTCGCCGCACCCCCAGCCCGAGTGCTGACACAGCAGGAAGGTGCAATGACTAATCCTCCTTAAACCCTGCTGAGCGAAGCAGTACTGCTGAGCTCCAGGGAGCTTGGGGTTTTTTTTTCCCCAAACACACGTGATGTTTGGCACCTGCAAGAGAAAGGGGAGCAGCACCCATCAGGGCACCAGTGGGGAGGTCCAGGACCCAACCTGGAGCTGGATCAACCTTCAGCTGCCCAAAGGAAGGTGGCAGAAGGTGGCAGCTCTGATGTGATGCTGAGGATGGCAGCTATCATGCCTCCACACCTGAAAGCTTGACCCCTCCAGCCCTCCTGCCTGTTTTCTTCTATCCCCACACAGTTTCTCAAGTGGAGCTGTGATTTCTCAACTCTGAGTATTGAGGGTGTTTTTGAAACCCTGGCCTATGTGAGGCTCTTCAGGGAGATCCCTTTCAGGGTGGGTCTGTTACTGGAAGGCTTCTATTTTACTCCCGTGCCTTAATTTTTGTGTCACCACCCACTAGGGACATCAACAGCTTCACCTGCAAGAAGAGAGTGACTCACAGTGAATGGTGGCACCAGGGTTCAACTCCAAATCCATGCTCCATCCTGGAGGGCTCTCGGCAGTGGGAAATGACCTATTTTAGGCTAAGCTCTCCATCAGGTTTGTCAGGTCACCAGCAGGCATGGAGGAGCAGAGACCGGTCCTTGCAGCAAGGAAAGCCCATTCAAGGTTGAAACGCCCAGAGCAGGAGCTCTGCTAGTGAGAGGCAAAGAGGTGGCCTCAGTCCCAACACCCCCTGCCTGGTTCTGGCATCACGGCCTGCAAACAGACCTGCAACGCACCTCCCAAGCAGAGGCCAGGGCTCCTCTCAGATCCAAACCCATCACAGCTGCTGTTTCACACCAAGTCTAAAACATCCCCTTGCCTCAATGCTCAGCATCTGACAGGCAGAAAAAGAGTGCAAGCAGCAAGTCAAGTACCCAAAATCCTCTTGCCAAGTTCTCCCATTACATTTGCACAGCCCCAAACACAGCAGAGCCCAAAACCCAAGAGGTGCAAAAAATGCCCCTCTTATAACCCTGCATCCCATCCCATTCCTTCGTTCCTGCTCCTTGGTTGCAGAGCCCCTTAACCCTTTCCTTGCTGGTCAGGGGGAGGGCCCTGCAAGCTGCTCAAACAACCAGTGTCCCAGAGAAGACCAAGGAGTCACAGGCCTATCCTTTCAATCTGCAAACGCTGCGGCTTAGGAGCACTCATTGCTCCCATGGTGGCCCCAGCACTTCCCCTAAGCAGTGAAAAGCAGACCCTGGTTAATGAACAGCCTGGCAGGAGTAGGTTGCACCATGACAAAACACCCTAGAGAGAGCCAGCACTGCCCAGAGCAACCCCCAGCCACATCCTGGCAACACCAGTAAGTGACTGCCATTTGCAGCCTCCAGCCTCCAACAAGTGAATGGTTCCCAGTAGGCCATGGGTCTGCACCTTGTGGCCAGCAGGATTCAGGGATTGCTGCCTTTCACGCATCAAGCAGTGCTGGGAAGTGCTGGGTTGGTGTTGTGCCTCAGTTTCCCTATCTGGCAAATGGAGGGGAATGATGGCCACCTCCCCATACTGTTTTTCACGGCTCTGGGGTGGTCCAAATGCTGAAAAAATAATGTTCCACCTTTTTGTCTCCCCTATTGACACAGACACACAAAAAAGCACTCTTGGCTCCATCCAAGTGAGGAAATGAGAGACAGATCTTAGCCAAGAGGGATCACAGGGAAGAGAGGGTTGCTGACCTCTGTCTAAGCATCCTTCCCACCCCAGCATCACCTTCGCCAATGTCCTTCTTAGCTCAAATGCCTGAAGACTGGGAGCCCTGTGAGATGCCAGAAAGGGCATCCTGTGGGTGATTAGCAAAATGACCCTCTTTGCTGTCGTATGGGCAACAATTCTCTTTATTGCTCATTGGGAAGATATATACAGGGGAGGAGGTTTGTTCTGACATTAAAATGCATGGTGTAGGTCATAAAAAGGAAGGTGAAATGAGGAGAGAGCAGGTTTTCTACCAGCAATTTCCCAGAGGGTGGCTGGGGATGCAGGGAGGTCTCAGGTACCTGGTGAGGACCGTTCCATGTCTGGAGCAGGTCAGCATCCCGCCTGGGACTGGGGACATCAACCTTGCCAACCAGGTGGGCTGACCACCAGGCAGGAGAGGTGGCACCTCTGTACCTCCCCTGTGGACCAATGCCCACGTGGACTCTGGCCCCTGAGGCAGAAGTCCATGTCCTGCAGGTGGGAAGAGGAAAGATCAGGAGACGGTGGTGCCATGGAGAGGCTGGGGAGCTACCACACATGGGGGATGCTGGTGCAGAGGGTCCCTGCAAATACACCCATCACAACAGTGGGAAGCAAAGTGAGAGGAGGAAGGAGGGAGGATGGCCCAGATGCCTGCTACATGGCAGTGGTGATCACCCTCTCCTCGGGCTCCAGGGTGTTCTCATAGGCGTGCTCACTCTCTTTGGACCTGCGTTGGGAGGAAGAAGCACAATGGTGAGCTCACCCCCCCCAAGATCAGCCTCCCCAAAGCCACCACAAGGGCCCTGACCTTGCTGGTGCCGACCGTGCATTGAGCAAGGGGCAATGTGGGGAGGGTGGAGGGGAGGAGAAGAGATAAGTGCAGGGTGAGAATTGCTCTAATTTCTAGCGAGGGCTGTTTTGACAGTCAGCATCTGCGTGGTGACCTATGGCCACTTTTGGTGGCTTCTTTGCCCCTGTTTGAAAGCTGTGATGTAGCATAAGAAAAATGTGGTGTAGCAGGTTGCAAGGACCATGGGGCTGCAGCAACAGGGAGAGACTAGGGAGGAAGGGATACTCGCTCACTGCCTTTTCCTCATCGGCTGGAGAAGATAAAAGCCCCAAAACCAGGTGCATGGAAAGTGTGAGACTCCAAGTGGGAGACATCATGTCTGAGCTGTCCCCAGGGAGTATGGAACAGAGCCTGAAAGCCATGGGGAAGAGGTGTGAGCAAGTCTTTCACCTGAAGTTGGCTGCAGCAGTTACATATCTCCCTTCATGGCCATTGGACATGACAGCTTCTGGCTTGTCCTCGACGCTCACCACCGTCTCAACATTTTCCCTGGAGAAGGAGAAGAGAGGAGCTGAGACAGAGAAGTGGAGGGGCTGCCAGGGAGCAGCTCGCAGTGGTGGTTGCAGAGAGAAAGGGACTGCTCTGACACTGTGGAGACAATAAGGGGCTTGGATGTGCCATCCTGGCCTCAGACACCCAGTTTAGCCCCCTTCCCAGCAGGACATGGGTGAGGAGAGATGCCCTTTTGGTACGTTTGCAGCGGCCATGCCTGGACACTGAGTGCCAACCCCTGGCTCTGGAGCTGGTACTCCCAGTGCCAGGCTGGCAGACTCATTTGTCAATGTGTGGGATTGTTTTCTCCTGCTAACTGGTTTTTCCAGTCATCTTCTACGCAATTTGTTGCAAAATAATCCCCTATGGTCCCATCTGACACTGAGATAAATACCGAGGCTCTGCTGGAGCCACAGCCCTGGGAGGGGTGCAGGCTGTAGGTGCAAGGCTGAGCTGTTTCCTCTTGGATGAGAGCCTGGATCACCCACAGAAGGAACTGCAGGGTAGGGACCGGGTGTTCAACCTCAGACAGAGCCTAAGAGCTCGGCTCTGGTAGGGTTTAGTTGTGGAGGAGGAGTGTGGGTCCACCCTGCGCACACATCCCTACCTCCTCCAGCGCTCTCCCAGGGGTGATTTCAGAGGCTTTTCCAAGGAGCAGACTGGCATAAACAGGCAGCGGCTTGAACCGATAGCTGCTGTCACAGCAACAGTGCAGAGCTGGCAGCACGCCAGGCTGATTAATTAAAACGAGCTGCCATTCACCCCCAACCCTTCCTCAGCATCCTTGCAGAGAGAGCCCGACCCCACCAGTGGAGCCTTGGGCTGGGAAGAGGCAGCCGGGGGCAGGCAGAGGTGGGAAACACCGTCCCTGCCTCCCACTCTGTGGACTGGGGATTCCTCCAGTCTGAGAACAAAGGTTCCCCTTTGGGAAACAAAGGCTACTGTTGCAAATCAGGCCATATAAATAAATAAATAAATGTGTGTATATATATATATATATATATGCACATTGCATTATGCATTGGCCCTGAATACATCCCAAAAGGCCTCCTTTTAATGTATTTGGGGCAGAAGCTGACCTGCTGAGCATCGGGGTACACTCCAGGTCCCCACCTCCTTGGCCCAGAGAGGCTGCAGGGATGTGCAGACACAAGAAGGCTCCAGCACCTATGGGTGCAAAGCCCAAAGCACCCACACTGGTGCAGAGGAACCGGGAACCAGGCTATAGTGCGCTTTCAATCTTCACCCCCTGTTGCCTTTGGGCTCAGATTCAAGATCTAGTTACTGTGACTTGGCCAGTTGGCCTGGGCCAGCTGAGCAGGAGTAGCAGCCTGTGGCTTTGCTTGTCGAGCAGCGGGCAAGAGGTAACCGGTCCCACACAGCTTTTTTTCTGATCAAATGAGGCCAAATCGTTTGCCTGTGCTGTGGGCTCCAGGTGGAGAGCACCGCCACGGCTCAGCTGCCTCCCTCTTCTCCCAGCTCCTGTCAGTGCCTTCTGCTGACCTGGCCAGGTCTGCTTTGCAAATGAAGCTGTTTGAGGCTCGTTTTCCTACAGATGTAAGGCACCTTGGAACTGCACCCCCAAATCCATAGGAAACCAGCCCCCTGAGACATGTGCCTGTGTAAACCAGCCACAACGCTGCTGCTCTCCCCTCTGTCTTGCAGTAGCATCTGAGTGCTCAGTCTGGGGGTGCCCCTGTGCAGGGAACAGCGAGGATGGACAGTGTGCACTTACACCTGGCAATAAGTAACAGGGAGCGGAGACCAGGACAGCAAGAAAAGGACAGGGAGACCAGGACAGGGAGTCTTTGCTCTGCCTGCCTGCCAGCGATCACGCTGTTCCCAGCCCTGGCATGGGGACAGAGGTGGCTGGAAGTGACCCATGCAAAGGCAGCTAAGCCCAATCCAAAGTAGCCTCTGGGGCTCCCACACTTACACTTTCTTCTTACACCAGTACCTATTGACCACGAAAGCGATGGCCACCAGGACTAGAAACACAGCCACTGCGATGACACCCTGTGACCATGGCTGGAGGCTGCCCCGGGCTGCAAAGAAAAGAAAAGCAAAGAGGACACAAGTAAGAAATGTGTCTTCAGGCTTTATCTGCCAAGCTTCTCCCATCCTGCTTCAGCAACGTCCAACCCAAAGCTCAGCGCTGCAAAGCCGAGCAGAGTGTGTTGCTGTTAAACGAGCCAGGCTAACCTGGATCATAGCAATGAAATAAAGTGCAAATAACAGCTGTTTCACTGCCGTTTGCGTTTGGAGCGTGGTGCCTTGCAGCTTTGGGGCCCCATATATACATATATGTATGCAGTGGGGCACAGATGACTCTGGGATGGGGGGACAAAGGGCTGGGGTACATGCAGGTAGGGAAGGAGGATGTTTGCCCAAAGTGGCAGAGGAAAGAAGGCAGAGGGGTTTCAGCAAACTGTTTATTCTCTATCCCTAGCTGCCACAGATGTCATTCCCAGATTATTTTCCAAATACTGCCTGGTAAAATAAGGACCCCACAACAGAGACAGTGTAAAATTCGGTTGTCACGCTCACAGCAAACGGTTGCTGCCGTGGATTTCGGTAAAACGTACCGTTCAACAAGTTTCCAGAGCAGCAAGCTGATTTATGACGGGAAATTGAAGGCCGAAGCGTTCAGAGCAACAGCCTCCAGCACAAAGGCCAGGTGGGGCTGGCGAGGGGCCAGGCAGCCGAGGGGGGCAGCAGCGGGTGGCGGGGAGCTGACCACAGCATCCCTGGCTCCCGCAGGGTGGGATGGCTTCACACATTCATTTTTCTCTAGCTGAGTTCAACCCTTGCACAGAGATGAGGTCCCTCTGCGTGGGCAGATGAGGCAGGTGGAGAGAGTGCTCCCTGCCAGCCCCAGTTTCAGCCTTGGACCACTTGGACCCAGCCCCTGCCGTTGGCACCCACAAACAGAGGTGGTTGAGGATGAGTGTGCTGGTACTTCAGTCAGACTCGGGAGTTTTGCACTAGCTGAGTGCTTCATCTGTCTCACAGGAGACAAATCTTTGCTATAAATAGCAAATAATCTTTACTAGCAGCAATAAAGCTGGGCTGTGCACTCCACATGTGAATACTCCTCATCCTCAGCCAGTGCTACCCCATCGCTGCTGCTGACAGCCCTTATCTTCCTCTGGTTTTGGGGAATGGGATTGTCCCTTGGTAAGACTCCAGCTCCTAGAATCCTTACTGCAAAAGGCTTGTATTTTTAAAAAAAAAAATCCAAAATAAAGCTCTTTTTTCCTCCTGGAAGTAAAATCAACTTTCGCTGCCTGTACCAGCCTGGAAAGAGGTGGCACCCCCAGGTGAGCAGCTGGTAAAGCAGCTCTGAACAGCATTCTTCAGCCCGCCCCAAGACACTTGCCAGGTTTCCTGCGAGGTCCCAGGGCCAAAACTGGGTGGAAATTCCCTCTTGTATTGGTGTGTTTCAGCTGAAATCCCATTGCATTGGCAAGCTGCTGGTGGGAGTACCGGGAGGGAGTGGGGAAGAGCAGGACTTGGTCCCCTCCTGGCCTATGTGATGAGTAGGGATGCTCCTGTCCCCACTGCCCACCACCCAACTGGGCACAGCCCCAAACACAACTAGTGCCTCCAGGCTGTGTTTTGGCCCACTTTGCTTCCTCCTTCACTCTGACCTTGGCTGTTATCTCAGCCAATTTTATTTATTGGTTGCATTTTAGTTTTCCTGCTAAAGCCAAGGTTTTCAGCCAAAGCCTTGGAGGGGATGGTTAGGTCCAGGCTTTGGTGAGGTTTCTGCTGGGGTTATGGGAATTGAAGGTCAACTGGGGCATGAAGTCAGCAATGACTGAAGTTGCCAAATTTGCCTCTTGTGATCTTCAAGCAAAGGAGGTGAGCAGATCAGTGGTAGGAAACCTCCCCTGAGCAGCCATGCTCAGAAGTTAACTGTATGTTTTTGCAAGTGAAACCTCACTCAGATGGCTCTTTCCACCAGATTTCAGAGCATCCAAAGCCAAAGAGAAAAATTCCAAACCAAAATCAAGCGGTTCTGGCTTTGAGACACCACGTAAAGCCTGGCTACAGGGGGAGATGAGGATGGCATTGGGCTGAAATACGCTCATGGGCGCAGGGAACTTGTGTGGGCATAAGAAAGGAAAGATGGGAACCAGGCAGAGGCAAGAGCTTGGTACTATCCTCTTAGGGAGCAAGTATACAGATGGCAGTAGCCTCACTGGAACACACTTTGCTGCCCTGCCAGGAGGGATGGCCAAAAAGATGAGTCTGGCCTGTGGAAATAGGATAGTGCTCCTGGAAAAAATGCTTTGCAGGGGATGTCCCTTCCAGGGCAGTCAATCCCTCAGGCTCTGTCACCTCCTATCTGTTTTGCCCCACAGCAATGATGGATTTCTCTCTCCCGAACAAGATCATCTAAGCAATGTGAGGTCTGCACCCCTGACAGATGTGCGTCTGTGTATCTCCAGCTACAGATGAGACTAAAGGAAGTGCTGGTGCCAACAGAAGCCCTTACACGTGCTGTAACTCCGTTTCCATCCTCAGCAGCTGCTTTGAAGACACAGATCTGCTCTTTGATGCAACTTCCCTGTGTGCTTGGAAAGCACCGGCTGGCCCCTGTCATTTCCCCTCTCCGAGGAAGTTGTGCCAGGCTCTGAATTCTCATGAAAGGTTGTTGGGGGTTTTTTTTCTCCTCTTTCCAGGCAACAGTAAAACTTTCAATCCTGCTGACAGTGGAGACCTCAAACTGTTAAATCCTCAGCAAGTTGGTAAACAAATACAGGAAGAGCTGTCAGGGCTGGAGCATCAGAAGGAGAAAGGGGGAGGGAATTTTCCAGGACTTTGGCAGCATCAGCTGCTTTTTAATTACTTCTCATTATTTGTAGTGTTAGACAAGTCCTTCCACAAATTTCCTAAAAATAATGCCCTAGCCATAGGAAGTTTTTCTATTAAGTCTTTGGGAAGCAAACAGGAGGGCAATTTGCAGAGGAAAATATTTGCTCCCTCACCTCAGCAATGATCAAAATTACAGATTAACAAGAAAACCTGTGAGCTCGGGGAGTAACCCAGTCCAATGCTTGCCCAGGGACGAGAGCGAGAAGACAGAAAGACAAAAACAAAACAAAACAAAAAAAACCAAAAAATCCTTAAGAAAACAGATTACTCATCTCAGTGCACAATCCTGCTGGAAGTAAATCAGAGCTGCTTTATCGCTGTGTAAGCAGGCGAGATAAACCTCGGGCAGCAGTTTCAGCCTCCAGCAAAACAGGTAGAAAGTCTCCGTGCCCCAGCTCCCAACCCACCCATCCCCATCACCTGCTGATGTGAAGCTGGAGCTGACACTTGAGCAGGAGCTGGGATATTCTTTTTCTCTTCCTAAGAGGCTTTTTCACAGTTGTCCCTTGTCCCCAAAGCCACCCCACCCAGCAGCTCCCACCTGCCCGAGGCTCGGCGCACATTCCCTTGCCTCAGTTTCCCCAAGAGGTCAGGCAGCTGCCTGCACTCACCTTGCTGGGAGCAAACAGGCTCCAGCAGCCCCAGGAGGAGGAGGAGGAGAAGGCAGCGGGCAGGCATGGCGGCCG